GTTCAAAACACCCCACCACACGGCTTGCTCAAGCTCGTTTAGCCGAGCAGATGAATGTCGCGCAGATGAATGTCGCGCAGATGAATGTCGCGCAAATGTTCAAAACACCCCACTACACGGCTCGCTCACCACAAAAAATCGAGTAGATGGACATGTCGTCCGATCACACCCCATCACATGGATCGCGCAACTTGCTTGAACAAATCAATCTGCCTAGCCTACCATTTCGCGAGCGTTGTTCTGCCCGGACAAATCAATCTGCTTGGGTTGTTATTTGCGAGCATCATTCTGCACAGAATGCGCTCTCGAGCCTCAACTAACTCAAACAAATGCATTGGCTTGAGTGTCCATTCACGAGGCTCACTCTGCTCGGAATTTATTCTATAAATCAGCCTCGTCTTCTACACGATATAGACAGCACCCGGGCTTATAAGGGCCCGGCCTTAAGCCATCACATCATTACTCACAGCGCCCAAACTCGCCAAAGTTTGGTCTTAAGCTGTCTATCCTTTAAACAGTGCCCGAGCCAACCAGAGCTTGGCCTTAAGCCGTTATGTTAATTTGCACAGCACCCGAACTCACAAGAGCTCAGACTTAAGCCGTTATATTAATTTGCACAGCACCCGAACTCACAAGAGCTCGGACTTAAGCCGTTATATTAATTTGCACAGCACCCGAACTTACAAGAGCTCGGACTTAAGTCGTTATATTAATTTGCACAGCACCCGAACTCACAAGAGCTCGGACTTAAGCCGTTATATCAATTTTCACAACATCAAGAAGACATGCCCAAACATGCCTCCAGATACTTCAGCGCATAAGCCCCCCCAGCAAACACTTTATGAATAATATAAGGCCTCTCCCAATTTGGCTCCAATTTTCAACATGCTTAAGCACATTAGCTCTTCTCCAGACAAGGTCACCCACCTGGAACTGTCTTTTCTTCACCTTCTTAGCGTGGGCAAGACACATCTGCTGCTTGCACTGCACAGTCTTCAGCCAGGCCCGATCTCGCGCTTCATCAATCAGTTCCAGTTCCTCCTTGACTAACTCCTCATTTTGAACTGACTCAAAAGTGGTTATCCTCTGGGATCCAAGGCCGATTTCCACCGGGATCACGGCCTCCATCCCATACACCATGCTGAAGGGCGTTTCTCCTGTCGTGGACCTTGGCGAAGTTCGGTACGCCCAAAGCACTGTGTCGAGCTCATCCACCCATGCACCAGAAGCTTTGTCAAGCCTGGTCTGCAACCCTCTTAATATGGTCCTGTTGGCCACCTCGGCCTGCCCGTTTGCTTGTGGATGCGCTACGGATGCAAAATGCTTCTTAATGCCTATCTCTTCACACCAAGCCATTATCTTCCTTCCCCGGAATTGCAGGCCATTATCAGAAACTAGAACCCGCGGGATGCCATACCTGCAACAGACGTTAGTAAATAAGAATTTGATGACCTTCTCCTCAGTGATTCTGGCCATTGCCTCCGCCTCCACCCATTTGCTTAAGTAGTCCACCAAAACCAGCAAAAACTTCATCTGACTAGAGCCTTGTGGGAAAGGCCCTACTATATCCATCCCCCATTAAGCAAATGGCAGAGGTGAGCTCATCGGCGTTAACTCCTCCGATGGTACATGGACGAGTTGTCCATGCTGCTGACATTTCACGCATTTCTGGACTAACTCCCTTGCCATAGCTCTCATGGTTGGCCAAAAATATCCAGCTCTTAGCGCCTTACCCACCAAGGCCCGAGCCTTAATGTGATCTCCGCAACAACCCTCATGGATTTCCCTGAGCATGTAATCACCCTCTTCCTCTAAGACACACCTTAGATGTGGCCCCAAATATGATCTCTTGAACAGCACTCCCTGTTGGATGAAAAATCTCAAGGCCCTTCGACCTAATTTGTCGCCCCGA